TGAAAACCAAAATAATTCCAAACGCCAGATCTGAATGAGGGTGGGGGAGGTCCATGTGTCTTGCTAGCTTGCCCTGCGGTCTTCCTTCTGACTATGCTGTCTGTGTTGAGCGCTCAGTGGATCTGCGCTCGACAGTGCAGCCTAGGCGGAGTAGTCGAACGCAGATTCACTGAGCGCTCAACACAGACAGCATCGTCGGAAGGAAAGTTGATAAAATAAATTACAAATGTTGTATTGTTCGATACATATGCGTACCGAACCGAAAGCACTGTATCGAACGGTTCAATATCGATACGAATATCGTTGCACCCCTAATATATATATATATATATATATATATATATATAGACGGAGCAATACTGGAAGAGCATATGGGAGAAGGACGCAACCCATAACGGCAATGCTCAGTGGCTAGTGGATCTGAGGGCAGACCACAGCGACCTCCCTGAACAGGGTCCAGTAACCATCACAGTGGCAGATATCCAAGAAAGGGTCTCCAGTATGAAGAGTTGGACAGCACCATGGTTCACGCCTACTGGCTGAAGAAGCTGACTGCACTCCACGAGCGTCTGGCAGCACAAATGAACCAGCTGCTAGTTAACGAGAGACACCCGGAATGGCTAACTGAAGGCCGGACGGTCCTGATCCCCAAGGACCCCAAGAAGGGACCGGTCCCCTCCAACTACCGACCAATAACCTGCCTCAGTACTACATGGAAGCTCCTGTCAGGCATCATATCGGCTAAGATGAACAGGCACATGGGTCAATACATGAGCGGGACACAGAAAGGAATTGGCAAGAATACCAGAGGCGCAAAACACCAGCTACTGGTAGACAGAACAGTCAGCCGAGACTGCAAGACCAGACTGACCAACCTGTGCACTGCCTGGATTGATTACAAGAAGGCCTATGACTCAATGCCCCACAGCTGGATACTGGAATGCCTAGAATTGTACAAGATCAATGGGACCCTAAGAGCCTTCATCAGGAACTCAATGGGGATGTGGCGTACAACACTAGAGGCCAACTCCAAGCCCATAGCACAAGTCACCATCAAGTGCGGGATCTACCAAGGAGATGCTCTGTCCCCACTGCTGTTCTGCATAGGCCTGAACCCCCTCAGTGAGATCATTAACAAGACTGGCTACGGATACCGACTACGAACGGAGCAGTTGTCAGCCACCTCCTGTACATGGATGACATCAAGCTGTATGCCAAGAGTGAATGAGACATCGATTCACTGATCCACACTACCAGGCTATACAGCAATGACATTGGAATGTCGTTCGGACTGGAGAAGTGTAGTCGGATGGTAACAAAGAGAGGGAAGGTAGTCAGAACTGAGGGGATTGAACTACCAGAAGGCAACATTGCAGACATAGAGGACAGTTACAAGTACCTGGGGATCCCGCAGGCGAATGGGAACCATGAAGAGGCCGCTAGAAAAGCTGCAACCACCAAGTACCTGCAGAGGGTCAGGCAAGTTCTGAGGAGTCAGCTGAATGGTAAGAACAAGATCCGGGCCATCAACACGTACGCCCTGCCCGTGATCAGGTACCCTGCTGGGGTAATAGGCTGGCCAAAGGAGGAGATAGAAGCCACTGACATAAAGACAAGAAAGCTCCTTACCATGCATGGAGGGTTTCACCCCAAGTCCAGCACCCTGAGGCTATACGCTAAGCGGAAGGAAGGGGGCCGGGGACTGGTGAGTGTCAGCACCACAGTCCAGGATGAGACAACGAACATCCAAGAATACATTGGGAAGATGGCCCCAACTGACCGAGTGCTCAGTGAATACCTTAGGCAGCAGAAACCCAAGAAAGAGGAGGGAGACGAGGAACCATCATGGAAGGACAGGCCCCTGCACGGTATGTACCACCGGCAGATAGAGGAGGTGGCTGATATCCAGAAATCCTACCAGTGGCTGGACAAAGCTGGACTGAGAGACAGCACAGAGGCACTAATCATGGCAGCACAAGAACAAGCTCTGAGTACAAGATCCATAGAGGCTGGGGTCTATCACACCAGGCAAGACCCCAGGTGCAGGCTGTGTAAAGATGCCCCAGAGACAATCCAGCACATAACAGCAGGGTGCAAGATGCTAGCAGGCAAGGCATACATGGAACGCCATAACCAAGTGGCCGGCATAGTGTACAGGAACATCTGTGCCGAGTATAACCTGGAAGTCCCGAGGTCAAAATGGGAGATGCCCCCAAGGGTGGTGGAGAATGACCGAGCTAAGATCCTGTGGACTTCCAGATACAGACGGACAAAATGGTGGTGGCTAACCAACCGGACATAGTGGTGGTAGACAAACAGAAGAAGACGGCCGTAGTGATCGATGTAGCGGTTCCGAATGACAGCAATATCAGGAAGAAGGAACACGAGAAGCTGGAGAAATACCAAGGGCTCAGAGAAGAGCTCGAGAGGATGTGGATGGTGAAGGTAACGGTGGTCCCCGTGGTAATCGGAGCACTAGGTGCGGTGACTCCCAAGCTAGGCGAGTGGCTCCAGCAGATCCCGGGAATAACATCGGAGATCTCTGTCCAGAAGAGCGCAGTCCTGGGAACAGCTAAGATACTGCGCAGGACCCTCAAGCTCCCAGGCCTCTGGTAGAGGACCCGAGCTTGAAGGATAAACCGCCCGCAGGGGCGTGCTGGGTGTTTATTATATATATATATATATATTTACACACACACACACACACACACATATATATATATATATATATATATATATATATATATATATATATATATATATATATATATATACACATATACATATAAAGTGTGCTCATCCACTGAACCTGTTCTGAGTCTCACATTCAGAAACACAAAAAGTTTTTCCCACAGTGATCAACAAAGTACATCACATTATAATTCTGTGACTCATGGTTCACAAACAGCATAAAAATCTTTTCCTCTGATTAAGTCATGTATAAATATGTGACTCATTACACCCAGCTCTCAAACCTTTTTCATTGCTTTCTAGTGCCAGGCACGTCTATTTCTGTGCAAGCCTGCCGTGTACAACATACGGTGGGAGTGTGCACAGGAAGCACCTGTTAGAATGAGGATGAGAACCTTAAATGCCTGCACGCACGCACGCACGCACGCACACACACACACACACACACACACACACACAGAAACAAACATGCACACCAGTAACCGGAGCTGGTGACAGCTTGGCCCCTCATTTGGCTATTTTAGTCGACAGACACTCAGAAGCTTTGTTTGGCTGTGTATCAGATACAGAAATATTTTTGCAGGACTGAATTAATTTTGATTTTCATAAACGCATTATGAACATCATATGCAAAATTTTTATTCTTTATTTGGTTTATCAATTAAATTGAAGAGTCAATTTACTTGTTCATTTTTTTTAAAGAAAATTTATTTTGAAGTCATGTAAATTTTAAAGCAAGGTAACAGAAGTTCATGCATAAATATTTCTTTTAGGGCCCTCAGTAGATTACAGGCACATATATCAAAGCAGAAAGAATTACTGTTAGATAGATAGAAAAGAAATATTTTCTACTACAACTTTTAATTTCTATTTTGCACATAATTCTCAGTTTTACATTTTCCTTTACAATGCACTTCAATAGTTACTGTTTATTTGCGGCATGTGCACGATAGTTAAGGATCTGCATTTCTATTACTACTGTTTTGAATGTACCAAATATTTAAAAATGATATACTTAGTTTTATTTATTGTAGATTCTGCAATTTCTCTACTTATTATGACTGTGTGACACCTGTTTCCTTAACTAGGACCGACAAAATCATTCTTATTACATGTATACATATAAAAATACAAATACATAAATAATAAATTAATTAATAAAAAAAATGTTGCTGGACGCTTAAAGTCATTCTGGTGCATCATATGGAATTTAACACATACTCAACAACAGGCATTAGATAAATAAATTGAAAAAGTGAAAGACTGCAAGCTTGCACTTGTGCAAATCATTTCAATGATTTTTTTAATCATAAAAGGTATCTGATATTGTACAACAGAGCAATGGGACAGCAGTGCAGAGGCTTCAGAACTTGTCTTTGAATGCTCTAATTTTAAAGATTTCTTCAACTTAGACACAGACACAGATTTTGGACAATTCCCTCACTTACTGAAATTGTTTACAGTAGTATGCACATTTAAGGCACTTCAAATTTCTATCATGTAACATTTAAATCTGAACTCAGGACACCCAGCAAGATTACTCCAATAAACTATCCTGAGCAACAGGGACAGTTGTGAGAACAAGGAGTCCTGTTGATGATGTGGCTTTGGAAGAGTCTTGGTCTGAACATCACGGTGCCACTCTGGGATTACATGAACAGACAGAAAACACTGAATCAGATTTAACAGCCACAGACCTTAATTAAAATGTAAGCAAGTATACAGAAGATAAAATGGACTGAAGTGTCTTCTCTTTTTAATTTACAAATAGATATGTTTAAACTTTTCACAGAATCCTCACTTCAGTGTCCAAAGTGCTTGTGCCTTATTAGAATCATAACACATCCACTCACATATTCACAGACTCAGAGACTGAAATAGTTACCCACACATGCACAGACACGCAGGCGATCACGCCTATTGCTTCGTATGTACGTGAGCCACCACAAGTGATCTAAGCACATGTTGTCATCTAATAAATTTAGGTAGCATTTGAATGAAAACATGCCTATATATAAACAATAAACTCAGGCACATATATGTGGGGTCACCTATGTATTACTGGCTGACTCAGACCAAAGGCCTGTTTGTGTTGTGCAAGTATGTGTGTGTGATGACAGAAACCACAGAGACACTAAAAATGAAGTGGACACCTGTTCTCTGGATAGCACTGGGAGAAATTCCACTCCACAGTCACAGCGCATGTTTGTGTGTGTGTGTGTGTGTGTTAGAAACAAGTATGGTGACACCGTACTTTTCCTGTCTCACGTGGACTAGATGCCCATCACTTCGTTTATGACCCTTCCCTTTTTAAAGGCCAGTATGGAGCCAGAGGGGCTTCAGCAGGGGATTAAAGTCAAAGTCCTTGCACTCTTCACACCAGCAGCTCACCCACTGACCAACTTATCTGGAAGGGTGTGGATATTTCCGTAAAGATCCATCGTGGCTATAAAGGCTGAGGAACACTGATGATCATTTGGAAAGATTCACTTTACAAGTTTGAAGTCTTTAAGATTTGAGCTGAAACCTTAGGAAGCTGAATCCATTAAGATTCACTTCAGCCTTTTTTAAGCGTTAAGTTAACTCGCTAGAATTTTCACGTGACGAAATTTTTTTTCAAGACTTTTTGGCATCTTAAGCCAATTGACCAAAACTGAAGCTAGAAATAACGACATCACCTGCAAGAGTAGATTATTATACGGGCAATAAAAGTGAATACGTTGGAAATTCACCATGAGTAGCAGTGGGATCGCTACAGTTTCATCCCGGGATCCACAGGCTTTCAAACGGACTGTAAAGAAGATAAAATGTGCTGCTATGGTGGCCAATTTGGCTAAAAGTTGGCAGGGATGGGCTAAAGAACATGCTGGCAAGCAAGAAGCCATGCCAAGTGGCTGGATGCCTTCATCTGTGGAGGAGGAAGATAAAAAAGAACGCAACCATGTTGTTAAACTTACAGTTACCCCACGTGTAATCTTAGCAGATCCCAGTGACAATAGTGAGAATAAGATCAGAACCTGCTCTGTAAACAAGACCGTTCAGCCAAAACGCAGCGAGTGCAGCAGCAGCGATGTAGTTAATGCCATTCGTGGCAAGATGGAGTCAGGTCCTGAGGAGACCAAGCCATTCATGGGCAACGAATCACCAACACGGCGGCGGCAGATGAGGGCACTACAAAGTGGAGAAGGAGGCGGGAGGATACAGAACAGGAAACTAAAGCTCCAGGAGAAGAAGTTGGGGTCAAGAAGCAGCAGCGTGGACACAGATGACAGCGGGTTGGGAGAGGAAAATGGGCTCAGCGACAACAATGAATCTAAAACCGAAAATGGCGAGCTCCAGTCTAAAAAGCAGACCAACAGGCCAAAGGTAGAGTGGCTAATAACAAAGATCTTTAACGATACGTTTAAACAATATCAATATAGTTTTAAAAAAACTGTTAGAAATGTATTCAGGTTTAAAGGTAGATCAATCAACATTTTGATCACATTGACAAATCCATAGAGATTTATCCAAAATTTTAGGTTTTTCTTTAACCCTTAAAACATTCTTCTTCTTACTATTTTGGTTTTATAAAGTGTTGTTTCATCTTTCAATCATTTTAAAAAATATATTTATAGCATGGTTTACGGGAGGAGGAATAAGTGCAAAATAAGTGCAAAATACTAAAATAAAAGAAAAGTAATTGTTGGACTAGCATGACGTGAAACACATTAACATGAATGATAACATAAGTCAGAGACAATTGGATATTTACATAATATCTAACCACAACATCTTTATAAGAGGTTTCTTCAAAATATCTTTAGATACACTTGCATTAGATTTAACTGTCACGTTTCCCTGTACCCAACATTGATATTGTTATTTAAAAAATTTCAAATAATAAGTCAAATAAAAGAGAAGAAAAGCTATTCAGGGATACTTTTTCTTAGTTATTATTATAAAGTGTAGAAAGACACGTGAAAGCACACTGATAGCAGAAAAGCTCCACAACTCTTTATTTTAGAGGTTATTTGTAACTGTCACTGAATGTTTTGGTAATGACAGCCTTACAAAAGAGGCGGAGTATTTTGCAGAGTTTTTGACAAGTCGGCTTTTTACAACTATATTAAATGTCCCCCAGTCAAAGACACAAAGGAGAATAAATTCCCCTAAAATAGAACAAGTCACACAGTGTGAATAAACAAGATTAAGCAGAAGTGCCTTTGATGTCACCTGAAGAAATCCAACTCCCTCATGGACACCAAACATCATAACAGTTACATAACTGCAATACTGAAATCTCTCCCATAAAAGGCAAAGGCTTTTTTAGTGGCCCTCTAGACATGTTAAAGGGGTTGCCAGAGAGCAAGTCCAGATCATAAAACACATGCTGGAATGCAGTGCAGTGGAATATATGTAAATAAATATAGTTACACCCTGACCTTCAGGTGGAACAGTCAGCGAGAGGAAAACAGGGTGAAGGGAGAGAGGTCAATGAAGGACATGAATTCGAGGTAATATGAGACACTGAGAGAGACAGTGCAATTATAATCAAAATATGAAGAAAAATGGTTTCTGAAATTATTTTTGTTTTATTGCTGTGTATTTTTGCTTTGTGTTGTTCAAAAATCCTGTTAAAGCATCAAAGGTGTGCATTATCAAGTTAAACGAGACTTAAGGAATACAGAGAAAAAAGTGATGGGCATACCAAAAAGGTAACACTGCTATTCATAAATCTTTTATCTGCTAGTAAAAAGGCAAAAGAGAAGCTAAAAGAATGTAGAACTGTTGAAAATGGCTGTGTGTGCCGACAGCAAACAACACCTATCAAATTAAACCAGTTTACATGACCCATGATTTATCTGCAAACATATATTAGCATAAAAAGTAACAATAGTAGTAGCACTTTAGTAATAAATGCTAACTAACGTCAGCATATCAGGCGTTAAATGAAAATGAAGTAACCTATCAAAGAAACTAAATTCAGAAAATATTATATGCATGCGTTATTGAATTTCACCGACGCTGCAATTTAAAAGCTCATGGTTAAATATTTCCCTCTAAAATAAACGCGAGTTAAAGTATGCCATTTGCAGTTAATGAAAAAAAAATTGTAAATAAGTGTTTACCACTGCTCAAATCCATGCCAACACTGTTTTATTAGCATAGAGTAAAAACAAATGTTACAAATTCAGATCAGTTCAATTCACAACACGTTAAAGTCTAAGGTGAGACATTAATAGAAAGAAAAATAAGGAATAGCAGCATTATCATCTTGAAAGTTCACAGAGTTTTGTGGAAGGTCCCTCCGTGACACATCTCAAGATTTCATAGATCAAATACCAAAGAGATCTGATGACACTCTTCCGAAGCTCTGGAAAGCTAAGACACATACCAGGGGAATCGGGGTGGAGTGGGGAACTGTGGGGGTGGAAAAAGTTTTTCTGAAAAAAATATACTAAAGAAAGATTAGGACACCCTCTCCTTTGGTTTATATAAGGTTCTCATTTCCAAGTACTCATTTATTTACATCCATGCTTCTTTATTTGCACATGTGCAGTCTCACTGTATTTATCGACAGACTAGGGATCAATTTCACCAACTAAAACATAGTTTTTAAAAGGACTAAGGGTTAATAACTCTACAGATTCCTATAGTGATGAAATACACTGCAGGTTTTTCTTTTGCTTTAAGCTCACCCAGCGCTAAATGAACAATACACAAATGTTTTGACGACCTATGTACTCCTCTTTAATAAATTTCAAAAGACATGTGTTGCTTTGCGCTTTTGTTTCCTTGAAAAGGTTTCAATGGATTTTTCAGTTTTGATTTGAACCTTTCTACAGATTAAAATTGCCACCACGGGTGACATCAGAAGTCGCTGGCAACAGTGGTCCGAACAGCACATTGAAGGCCAGAAGCTCAATCCCTTCAGTGAGGAATTTGACTATGAGTATGCTATGGCCCAGCGCCTCCACAAGGGTGACTCTGGCTATGGACGACCCAAAGAAGGCTCCAAGACAGCAGAGAGGGGAGACAGGGCCCAGAAACACATCTACAGGGAGATGGAGGAGATGGTCTGGATTATAAGAGACATGGGCTTCAAGGATAAAGAGGGTAGAACAATCATAACTTTTGGCCGTCTCTTTGACCGCTACGTGAAAATCTCGGACAAAGTGGTGGGCATTCTGCTTCGCTGCCGCAAACACAAGATGCTGGACTTTGAGGGGGAGATGGTGTGGAAGGGGCAGGATGATGATGTCATTATTACGCTAAAGGATTGAAAAAATATTATGCGTATGCAAACGTACCTATAAATCTCATACATCAGAGCTCCAGTAGAAACAACTACTCATTCTGAGCATGCAATGTCATGTACGTAAGGAAAATGTAGTATCTTTATAATGTTTAAAAATTAAACATGCATACATATCTAATGTTTCATACACACACACACAGACACACACGCTAGAGTCATTAGTTCTTCTCATATACCTGACAGATTATGGGGTGAAGGGAAGCTATCTTTAGCTTGCAAACCATGCTCAACTTGCTAACTATGTTACATGCTAGAAGCCTTAAGAATCCATCGCAATGTCAGTCATGGTAGAAGGCTTTACTGAGTCTCCAACTAAACAAACAAGGACTTTGAGTTAATTTCATCTAATAATTCATGACAGAATTGACAAGGGAAGTTTATGTTCGTTTAGCTAATTTTGCTAAAAACATGCAAGCAGTGGTAGCAACTTACTAGTCTTGTTTATTGTTTGTTTGTTTTCTTAAATAGTTAAAAAGTACTTTAATGAGACCAATGTCTGCGTTTCCTTAGTTTGTTTTTATTTGTTTTGTTTTTCGTCTTCTTTGGAATGACAGTTTAAGACTAAATAGTTAAATTAAGCTAAGCTAACATTTATTTTTATGTAGGAATATGTGACATCTTTAGAAATAGAAATAATGGATATAAATGTACCTTAAACCTCAGTTTTCAACTAAAGTACTTAAAAGCACACTACACCAGTCTTTCTTACAGGACTACAACCATGTTTACTCTGGACCATGCTCACTTTCAAAGATTTAATCTCCAGTAAAATGTTTGGTCAAAATGGCTTTCTTATTTGGTTGACATACACAACAAAAATTAATTGCAAAATAATGTAATTATATTTAGACAAGGGAAAATGACAATAAAAAGAAGCTTACATGCAGTAATGTGAATAATGTGAATGAGTTTGAAAAACTTCTGCATGTTAAGTTTGTGTAAGGCGAGATTTTTTTGAAATAAATCATTTTAGAGCAAACATTTAAATGTTAAAATGGGATCATCTCATATTAAAATTAAATGAAAGAGGTGCTTTAAATGTCAAATGTTTGCTTCTTTCAAAGTGAAAGCGTGGATGTTCTTTATATATGTATTACAAAAACTGTAAGCATTTGTATAATGTGTACAGTTTTTTAGTTAGTTTTTAGTTAATTAGTTTATTTTCAGTATTGTTGTGGTCAGAGTGGTGACACATGCTATGTGGAAGCAAACAAAGAATAAAAATTAAATGCTGCTTTTGTTTTTCTATATATATACTCAAACTGTGTTGCATACTAAGCTTATTTCAGTTTGTTTACTGACTGTGGTGTTGCATTAGGTCACTCTAGCTGACAAGGCTAGTATGTCATTGTTGAGTTGTGTGTTGTATGTTTCTGACAAAAACCTTTTTGCTTGCGTGAAAACAACAGTCTGCAGAGCATAAGCTTTAAGATAAAAGATATATGTTTTACATCAAACTAAAATAATATTTAAAAAATAAATAAACCCAGGCAAACTGGTTAACTGCACTTGAACATCAAATGCAATATCCTACATGATCACCTTAACCCAAGGAGAGAAATTAAATGTTGCATTTAAAGTGGTTATGTTGCGCACAACGGCGCTTTTACAGGGAGTGCAGAATTATTAGGCAAGTTGTATTTTTGAGGAATAATTTTATTATTGAACAACAACCATGTTCTCAATGAACCCAAAAAACTCATTAATATCAAAGCTGAATGTTTTTGGAAGTAGTTTTTAGTTTGTTTTTAGTTTTAGCTATTTTAGGGGGATATCTGTGTGTGCAGGTGACTATTGCTGTGCATAATTATTAGGCAACTTAACAAAAAACAAATATATACCCATTTCAATTATTTATTTTTACCAGTGAAACCAATATAACATCTCCACATTCACAAATATACATTTCTGACATTCAAAAACAAAACAAGAACAAATCAGCGACCAATATAGCCACCTTTCTTTGCAAGGACACTCAAAAGCCTGCCATCCATGGATTCTGTCAGTGTTTTGATCTGTTCACCATCAACATTGCGTGCAGCAGCAACCACAGCCTCCCAGACACTGTTCAGAGAGGTGTACTGTTTTCCCTCCTTGTAAATCTCACATTTGATGATGGACCACAGGTTCTCAATGGGGTTCAGATCAGGTGAACAAGGTGGCCATGTCATTAGTTTTTCTTCTTTTATACCCTTTCTTGCCAGCCACGCTGTGGAGTACTTGGACGCGTGTGATGGAGCATTGTCCTGCATGAAAATCATGTTTTTCTTGAAGGATGCAGACTTCTTCCTGTACCACTGCTTGAATGGTAAATGGCCTGTATTTATATAGCACTTTACTACTCCCTAAGGACCCCAAAGCGCTTTACATATCCAGTCATCCACCCATTCACACACACATTCACACAGTGGTGATGGCAAGTTACATTGTAGCCACAGCCACCCTGGGGCGCACTGACAGAGGCGAGGCTGCCGGACACTGGCGCCACCGGGCCCTCTGACCACCAGGCTACGGGTGAAGTGTCTTGCCCAAGGACACAACGACCGAGACTGTCCGAGCCGGGGCTCGAACCAGCAACCTTCCGATTACAAGGCGAACTCCCAACTCTTGAGCCACAATCGCCCTAGAAGAAGGTGTCTTCCAGAAACTGGCAGTAGGACTGGGAGTTGAGCTTGACTCCATCCTCAACCCGAAAAGGCCCCACAAGCTCATCTTTGATGATACCAGCCCAAACCAGTACTCCACCTCCACCTTGCTGGCGTCTGAGTCGGACTGGAGCTCTCTGCCCTTTACCAATCCAGCCACGGGCCCATCCATCTGGCCCATCAAGACTCACTCTCATTTCATCAGTCCATAAAACCTTAGAAAAACCAGTCTTGAGATATTTCTTGGCCCAGTCTTGACGTTTCAGCTTGTGTGTCTTGTTCAGTGGTGGTCGTCTTTCAGCCTTTCTTACCTTGGCCATGTCTCTGAGTATTGCACACCTTGTGCTTTTGGGCACTCCAGTGATGTTGCAGCTCTGAAATATGGCCAAACTGGTGGCAAGTGGCATCTTGGCAGCTGCACGCTTGACTTTTCTCAGTTCATGGGCAGTTATTTGGTGCCTTGGTTTTTCCACACACTTCTTGCGACCCTGTTGACTATTTTGAATGAAACGCTTGATTGTTCGATGATCACGCTTCAGAAGCTTTGCAATTTTGAGACTGCTGCATCCCTCTGCAAGATATCTCACTATTTTTGACTTTTCTGAGCCTGTCAAGTCCTTCTTTTGACCCATTTTGCCAAAGGAAAGGACGTTGCCTAATAATTATGCACACCTGATATAGGGTGTTGATGTCATTAGACCACACCCCTTCTCATTACAGCGATGCACATCACCTAATATGCTTAATTGGTAGTAGGCTTTCGAGCCTATACAGCTTGGAGTAAGACAACATGCATGGAGAGAAGGAAGTGGACAAAATACTCATTTGCCTAATAATTCTGCACTCCCTGTATATGTGCATTTACCTTCTATAATTTCATCAGGAACTGAACAATTATTTAACATTTAGAAGTTATTTATACAAAATTTTGTTCTTGTAAGTAAGAACTTGAATGTCTACGTGTTGAAGAGTTATCTAAGGTATCTAAATGAACTTTTATTACCACTTAGTCAGACATACACATTGCATGCACAATCACCTGTCAAAACTGATAATAACTTATCAAAAAGGTTCCTTACTTTCTCTTGGGAAACATTTTGGGGTTTTGCAATACAAAACAGACACATTCTCTTGCATCGGACTTTCAGAGTGAAATAAAATGACACACGCTTTTTGGTACCGAACCAAACAGGCTAGTCACCACAGCAGCCTTAATACTGAATACAAGCTGGAGGCCAGATGATATTTTCTTTTTAGGATGTTTTTGATATATAGAAAGTTGTATGGCATCAAATGCTACAGATATAGTTATACTATAGACTACCACTGTTACACAGGAAAATAAATTAATAAAACATGACAATACTTGGCAGGCTTATAAGCTTGTGTCAGTATTGACATTTATAACATGTGTGAGTTTATAACTGCTACAAAAGTTACAAAAGTTCCTTTTGTAGAAGTTCATGGCAAAGCCCACACTTGCTGATTTTGTAGTGAGACAATTTTAAGCCCCTCTGGACTTTGGTTTTGAAGTGCTCACTTTATAATTGTTTTTTCATAGCCTTGTCTTGATTGAAAAATACTTATCCAGTCTTTAAGTCTAACATCATTAGCTGTGTCTGGGTCCAAACTCCGCTGCAGGTCCATAAGCCAAACGATCACAGCGGCATCACTGAGAGTTAAGTGTCTAAATTCTTTCATCTGTAATAAAATGATCAGTGTGGCTGCTCTACCAGGTGTAACAATTAAGTTAAACATCCAGGCATCCATGAAAACGGAATTTATTAAACTGAACGCAGTTAGAAGTTAGCAAGGAGTTAGCTCGCTAGTTTCCATCTAAATATAATATAGCCTGTCCTGACAGAGAGGTTTCTGAAACAAATTAAGACGTACAGCTCTGCTATCACTTCCGACATAAATGAAGACAGGAAAGTAAATAGCAGTGGCGTTTGTAGGGTTACTTTAGTTTGGCTAGCTGATATATAATGATGTGCTACGTGATCGCTAGTGACACAGCTATGTTAGCATAATATAAACAGTGAAGGTGGAGGATGAACGCTAATTTCTTTCCACTCAATAAAAGTTGCTGTGAGGATTCTCGATGGTCAGGGACAAATGTAATCGCATGGCACGATGCTGTAAACGGACCGAACTTAAGTCAGGAGAACAACTGAGATAATTCATCCACAATCCGAGGTTATTCATTAATATACTGCTGCATGAGCTGGGCTGTAGTTGCGTCGTAAGGTTTTAAAAACCGAGCTTTAAAATAAATAGCGGTAATAAAAACCGAGAGAGGGCGACAGTGATCACTGACTGTTTTTAGGGGCTTTTTGAGAATAAACAGAACCAGATACATTCAGAACCAGAGAGACATTCGGGACTGCAATCTCCTCTGCTTCACCGAGACATGGCTGAACCCAGCGGTGCCGGACCACGCCATTCAGCCGGCCGAGTTCTTCTCGGTTCACCGCATGGACAGGACACGGGACTCGGGGAAGTCAAGGGGAGGCGGCGTGTGTTTAATGGTGAACAACAACTGGTGCAACAGTGCGAACGTTGTTCCTCTCACACGCTCCTGCACACCAAATCTGGAACTACTGTCCATCATGTGTCGTCCTTTTTATCTACCTCGGGAATTTACATCGGTCATTGTAAGTGCCGTTTATATTCCACCACAAGCGGACACGGTCACCGCCTTATGCGAGCTGCATGAGGCACTCACACAGCACCAGACACAACACCGGGACGCTGCGCTTATTGTGACGGGGGACTTTAATAGCGCCAACCTCAAACGCGCAGCGCCGAACTTTTATCAACACATCACCTGCCACACCAGGGGTGAAAGGACACTGGACCACTGCTACACTACGGTCAAGGACGGCTACAAGGCACAATCCCGCCCCCCGTTTGGCAAATCTGATCACGCCGCCATCTTCCTCATGCCAAAATACAAACAAAGGCTGAAACAGGAAGTTCCGGTTCAGAGGAAGGTCGCGCGCTGGACGGATCAATCGGTGGCCGCGTTACAGGACGCACTCGATGACGCAGACTGGGGCATGTTCAGAAACAGCTCCGACGATGACGTCAACGTGTTTACGGAAGCGGTTGTGGGATTCATCGGGAAACTAGCGGATGATACCGTGGAGACAAAGACTATCACAACGTTTCCCAACCAGAAGCCGTGGGTGGATAAAACCATCCGCGACGCTCTGAGATCCCGCACCGCTGCCTACAACACGGGACTCATGACGGGGGACATGGACCCGTACAAAGCCGCGTCATATAATGTGCGGAGGGCGGTGAAAGAGGCGAAGCAGCGCTACGGGAGGAAACTAGAGTCACAACTCCAACAGAGTGACTCTAGGAGCCTGTGGCGGGGACTAAGGACAATAACGGACTATAAAGCACCAACAACCGGTATGACGAACGCGGCCGTGACTCTGGCAGACGAGCTGAACACTTTCTATGCTCGCTTCGAGGCTGCAGCTAAGGTCTCCAACAATGCTAGTGTTAGCGGCGCTAACGGCTGCAGACAGGAAGATACTGCCAGCACCGGAAACGTGCTCGTCATCTCCGAGCATGAAGTAAGGAGAGCCTTCAAAAGAGTGAACACCAGGAAAGCAGCAGGACCAGACGGCATCCCAGGTCGTATCCTAAGAGACTGCGCATACCAGCTAGCTCCTGTGTTCACTGAGATATTCAACATCTCTTTATCTCAGTCGGTGATCCCCACATGCTTCAAAGAGTCCATCATTGTTCCTGTCCCGAAGAAACCCCACCCTGCTTCTCTCAATGACTATCGCCCTGTAGCCCTCACCTCAGTAGTGATGAAGTGCTTTGAACGCCTGGTCAGAGACTTCATCATTTCTTCACTACCAGACACACTGGACCCACTACAGTTCGCTTACCGTCCAAATCGTTCCACAGACGATGCCATCTCTCATCTCCTCCACACATCACTCACTCACTTGGACACTAGAAGGGGGAATTATGTTAAAATGCTCTTCATAGACTACAGCTCTGCATTTAACACCATAATTCCCTCCACACTCACCACCAAGCTGGAGCATCTGGGACTCAGCTCATCTATGTGTCAGTGGATCTCCAACTTCCTAACTGGCAGACCACAGGCAGTAAGGATGGGCGGACATGTCTCAGCCTCCACCACTCTCAGCACTGGAGCCCCCCAGGGGTGTGTTCTGAGCCCCCTGCTGTACTCTTTGTACACATATGACTGCGTGGCCACTACCAGCTCCACCACCATCATCAAGTTTGCTGACGACACCGTCGTGGTGGGCCTGATCTCTGATAACAACGAGACGGCCTACCTGAAGGAGATTAGGAATCTGGAGAACTGGTGCCAGAGGAACAACCTCCTTCTAAACGTCAGTAAGACAAAGGAGCTGATAGTGGACTTCAGCACTAAGCAGGAGAGGAACTACCAGACCCCTGTCATCAACGAGTGCCCAGTGGAGAGAGTGGACAGCTTCAAATACCTCGGAGTTCACATCACGCAGGACCTGTCATGGTCCTGTCACATCAACACCGTGGTGAAAAAGGCCCGTCAGCGTCTCTACCACCTCAGACGCTTGAGAGACTTCCAACTGCCCTCCAAGGTGCTCAGGAACTTTTACTCGTGCACCATAGAGAGCATCCTGGCGGGAAACATCTTAACCTGGTTCGGGAACAGCACCATGCAGGACAGACGAGCTCTACAGAGGGTTGTGCGGTCAGCTGAGCGCACCATCCGCTCCGAGCTCCCTGACCTGCACTCAATCTACAGCAGGCGGTGCTGGACCAAGGCCAGGAAGATCGTGAAGGACCTCAGCCATCCCAACAACAGACTGTTCTCTCTGCTGAGGTCAGGAAAGCGATTCCGCTCCCTGAAGACCAACACAGAGAGACTGAGGAGGAGCTTCTTCCCGCAGGCGATACGGTCTCTCAATCACACCACCACACAGTACTGACCCACACATACAGTTCTTACACACACACTGGACTTTCTGGACTTTGGTTTTGCACAACACTGGTCACTATATTCTTCATTTCCGGTTAATGCTTGTACAGCTGCTGTTATTGTGTATATATTTATTTATATTTAGATTTCTTCATACATTCTTATATAGATCTATATTGTGTATTGTGTATTTTGTTGTACAGTTATTTAATTTTCAACTTTAATTTATATATTTATCTTTATCTTATTCTTCCCAGTTAAATTTACCCTTCATTCTAATTTGTGTTGTACAGTTATTTCATTTTTAACCTTAATTTATATTTTATTCCTTCCTAGTTAAATTTACCCTTTTTAATTTTTCATATTTATTTCCTATCTTATTCATAGCCTTTTCCTTTTTTGTTTTCTTTAGGTCACGAGCAGTTGTCCAAGCATTTCACTACATATCGTACTGTGTATGACTGTGTACGTGACAAATAAAATTTGAATTTATTTATTTATTTATTTATACAAAGCATTAAAACATGTTAAAAACACAAAGATTGGGCCCAGAAGCAGGATTCATCACGTCATCACTTAAAGACCAGATAGTCTGTGATGTTACATGACTGTTTGGTCATCCTACTTAGGCTTTCTAACAAGTTTGTGTTTTTTGATATTATTTTGTTATTAATTGAAACAAAATGAAACAAAATTCACTTTTAGTAAGAGTACGAAATGGTCAGTTCCCCATGAGGAAGTTACCAATCTTACCAGTGAATACACTCATTTAACTTATATCCATTAAATAGGTTTTATAAGTCTGTGCACATAGACTGAACTTTATATTACTTCCAAATCACAACTATTTAATAACAAAGGTTGATAAAAAAAACAACAACACAGATATTTACTATAAAAATATAGTCTATATTATTTGCTCTGAAAGAGAGAGCCTTAGATTACCATTTGCAAAGCAATCTCTATTTGCTTACTTTATTTATAGTTCACAGTCTTTTCCTAACATAACTTTGTCAATATGAGGCAGGAAAGGATATCCCATGGAAGACAGAAAAGCAGAAATGAGGTAGTAAAAAAGAGAATTGGGGGCATTTAAACCAAAATTACTTACAAAAACCAAAAAGTTAATGGAAGCAAAAAGTAACACAAGGAGACAAGTCGAAATTAATTTTTTTGTAATTTTGATCGAGAAGCAGTCCCTGAATCTGTTACATTACACAACAGTGATGTGAGAGGAGGTGCCAGAGTAAGTCGAAGGAGCGTCTTGTTCAACGGCCAGTTCCTTCCTGTACAGAATCAATGTTTTACTCATATGAAACATGTTGTTTTTGTTTGGATCTGTAATTTCCCGCATGGACAGAATGATTTATGTCTCAATTTACATTTGCACCATCAGAGGCCCCCTGCTGGTTCATCCCATTTTAGTGTGTGAGTTTAATTTCCTGTCTTTGCAATGCAAGTCACACTTACTGTACACTTGCATGCACAAACGTGTGTCTGTGTCTTTTTCTTTCTGTCACTCTGCGCATGTGCATGCAAGTCATGCCTTTGCGTGTGTGTGCGAGGGTGCCTGCCTAGAATGACCTGCCTTCCTGTCACGCAACTGCTTTGTGTGTGCATTACAGAGAGAAAGAGACTGCAAGAGAGAGAAAAAAGGAAAGAGAGACATTAATATAAGCTGATCAGTTTGTTCACCAGGGAGTCTGGACATCTGCCAGGGACAGGGAACGACAGGGAAAATAGTGATAGAGGAAATACGAGATTAAAAGACACAATGAAAGAGTAAAAAAGGAAACAAGTTAGAAAATATAGTAGATGTAAGTAAAAGATGAGAACTAGAGAAAAAGAGAATATATATATATGGAGAGACAGACAGACTAAAGCTTCAGACTTGGTCATCCTTAGCGACTCTATCTAGCAAAATGAATCCTTCCTCCCTTCTGTTTTATCTCCAACTCATTCTCATCTCATTCTCTTCGTCTACATTTTACTTATTTTTTTCTTCTATTGTGTCTTTCTCTGTATTTCTGTTTTCCCTTCTCAAGTCTTCACAGAAAATCTTCCCAGGAGCTTTAGTTGATGATCAGTCTACAGTGATGATAACAGAGCACCAATAATTCCTAACTGCACACACACACCCACACACACATTGCATTTACAGGTAGAGATCTACATAGTCACCACCACCCCCCAAAAATACATAAAATAAATAAATAAATAAATACATTGCATTCCTGATGTAGCACATATGATACAAATTTAAAGTCAAATATGCAAATTCTTTTTTTTTCATCAGATGGGTGACTAAACACTTAATTTTTTAAAGAAATCTGAATTTTCTGGCAATTATTTTATGGTTCAGGCTTTAAGGGAAGTAAAAGCATGGAAACCTACATGAGGCCCTAACCTTCAAAATAAAGTGTTTTCGAAGAGGGACAGGAGCAAAATCACACAGGCAGAGAGGCAGAAAGGAACCAAGAACTTGCAGTTACTAAAAACCTAAGCATTAATGTCACTCAGCACAGAGAAAGATAACTAATAACTAATAATAAAATCATATACATTGACAAGAACCAACACCACCAAGTTCAAGGTCACTGTGGATTTATGTTTTATAAAATAGTTATCAATAAAGTCACGATGAATGGCTAAAAGGGCTCCATAAAGGCACAGAATGTCAAATAGAGTGACATAAACCAACAACAGGTGAAATAATGATTACTGATGTTGAATGATGCAGATTACTTATCAAATGACATATAGGTTACAATTAAGTGCTTAGTCTGTGACCTCGAAGTGTCTTTTGTTGTAAAGCTGTAGTCCTCTGTCCATCCAAACCAGACTCTCACCCTTATGTAGCTTGTCAGTGTTATGTTGCTTATGGGCTAACTGTGCCCCCTTCTGAAAAATAAAAATTCAAGTATAATTCAAAAGTACTTCTTAGCTGGTATGACAAGTATGTGTCTGATTGTCTCCCTTTGAGTGGATGTGACATTCCTTTTCCAGGATTTTGATGTATTTGTTTTTTTCTTTCTAACAGGGATGATGTGCATTAATAAACATTGCAGTAAATGTCCCAGAGTTAACCATAGGCTTGTTTTCTTCTGTAGCGCTTGGCCAGATCTTAAAAAGGCTGTTTAAAAATAAAGCAATATAATATCGACATTGTACAAATAATCAATAAGCAATGTTTTGTAAGCATAGAACGTCTTTCTGCTGCTTTTTATATGACCACCTTAAATTAAACAAATAGATAAAAAAAACAGATAAAGCATTTAATGATGGAGTTAAACTATTTTATTGACAGCTGGAATAGAATAACAATACACCAAATTGTGCATTTACTCAACAATATAACGGTTTCCCAAAGAATCTGCAAATATATGTGTTTTAAATGACAGCGCAGTGACTAAAACTAAAGTTACAACATTTTGTCACTCTTCTGATAACATTCAGGACTTCAAGTCAGTAAAACATGAGCAACAAATGGAAAGCAATGCATATGGACTTTTGCAGCTTTTTTGTACTTTAATGCTAACGATTGTTAATGCTATTCTACTGGAATAAAGTAAATAAAAAAAATGCAATATACTTACAAATCAGTATTTCAAATATTTAAACAGATTGGCAATTCTTAAAATATGGCGTTTAAACAGATACCTGGCAAAATACCTTACTGTTACTGCTGTTAATGTTCTAGTAGCAAAAATTGCAAGTGCAACAATAAAGACAATGAAGAAAGAAAATGGATAGGTTTATTTATCTAATGAAAGTATAGCTGACAAAAACAATTTTTCCCTGGATAAATGCTCATCACTAAGGAAAACTTTTCCAGTAACATTGCTTCCAGACGTTGCCCATATTACATGTCCTTGAAAACATAAGAAGGCCTGTAAAACTGTTTTATACTACGCATCTTAAAACCAAAACATCGCCTTCCCTTATTATGTTAGGGGTCTTGGGAATATGTATGGTTTAGACAATTCTCATATGCCTTTAGAAGACATCACCACATGATTTAAAGAATAGAATTTAAGGCTGTGAATTTTTTAATATGATGGCTTTGTATCACTGAGGAAATAAAACAACCATGTTTGCAAAACAGTGAGTTAAGACTTGTGTAGAACTGAATGACTGAGATATAATCTAGAAAGATGAGAGCTAAATCTACACCAAACAGTCATAAAATAAAAACAGTAACAACAAAATAGAACAAAAAAAAAAGCAAAACAAAACCAAAAGAAAAGAAAAAAACAAAGTTATGATTTCTCATGGCACTTTGATTCTCACTTGGTTCACCGAACTGTGTAATGTATTAAGTCATGGTAATATGAAATGCTTTGAACGCGATAATCTACCAGATGGTGTGTGAGGGAAAACATTTATGAGGGTTAGTTTTGGGCTGTGAGGCAGTTGGGGGCTCTAAGAAGGAAAGAAATAAAGCTTGTGGATCGCTGTCTCTGCAGCACAGCGGACTGGAGGAGATGTGCTGCTTTTGGGATCCCCCAGCCACTGTTTCATAATAGCCACAGAGGAGCAGCATCTTCCCTTTCATCCACCCACTCATCCACCTCTTCCCTGTGAGAGAACATAATTTGATATGTCAAGAAACATACACACTGTCACTCTAAAGAAAACGATTCAAGGAGTGCTTGCTTTCTTTCTAATGAGTAAAATCTCATGTACTTCAGAGGGGAAAGATATGGCTGATTTTAGCAGATAACAGAAATTTTTTTCTTTTCTTCTTCAAAGGTAAATCTTTCCAGTGTCACTTTTAGGTTGATCTGCAAAAACAGACACAGACTTAACCCATTGTACACCAAGGTTAGCTCGGTGTTTTATTGACTACTACATGAAAAAGTAGTTCTCCAGTTTACACATATTGAAGCTATTTGCTGACATTTAAACACAAACTACATAATCTCTGTCAAAATGGGGCAAAACATTAACTATCTTTTGGCCTATTTTAATTTACAATTTAAGTAAGAGATATTTGTCATTATTAAGGATGTTTTGTTTACCTCAAAATTTTGGAGGATTCCCCTGAGGTCATAAACCCTAGGCATATACGTTTTATCACTACAACTTGGTGTTGGGCCTAAAAGACTTTTGGCATAGTGGTCATTTATCGCTGACACAGCACACTTAACCACACCAGACTAGCATTCTGTGCTGAGTCTTTAGAAAGTATGCATTTTTCTGACAGTCCAAAATATCCCCAAATGAATTGTATTATTGAATGTACTTAATATTCAGTGCCACAAGCTGTGCTTGTACATTATATCATCACTAATCTTATCAGCTGCTTAGCAGCAGAAAGTCTGGCCTGCCAGGAAGCATAATATTCATATTTGACTATTTTATTTTAAAGAATGTGATTTTTTTTAAGAATTTGATTTTCAACTGTCTCGACATATCTGCTCTTCATTGATTTATTTTTAAAGTTAATATAAATAAAGACCGAAGGAGCACATGACTCATCTTAATATACTACTGTTTGCTATAACCAGGTGAATGGCAGTTTATAATGTGTAAAAGCCAGCAGCAGCCAAAGGAGCAGGTATGTAAAAATTACACCCTAAAAAATATGAGCAAAAACACACAAGAAGCTTAATACATGTAACAAAATCGTTCCCCTACAGTTTTCTTCATTTCTTGGGCATTGGTCCCAAATGGCACCATGTATACAATCAAGTACCACTAATATATAAAAAGTAAGGTCTGGTTTTGCAGAATTACAACCTTAACAGTGTAAAAGGACCTCGGCAAGATAGGATTAGTGGGGGCTTTTTGTTTTGTTTAAACACCTCATTTGAAACATAAAAGTAAAACGAGGTGCATCCAAACATCAACAGATAAACAACAGCACAGTTTAGAAAATATGTTTTGATAAGAAATGGGTCAAAATGGTTGAATCTATCCTGTAAAATATGTTTTTATTGTTTTATTATTAGTAGTTTTTTTGCTCAATTTGTTCATTTGTTCAGTATATCAGAAATTCATTAAGAACATATGCACAGATTTCTATTTCCATAGATGACACTAAAGTTGTTTTAAATAATGGATTGAAATGTCTTTTTCTCTCTTTTCTTGCCCTGCGTTGATCACTTAGTGTGCCAATTCTCATTCCTTAGCCCTGGCAAAAATGTGTATTGTGTGTTTAAGGCCTCTACTTACATTACAATTGATAGAAGTACACAATTAACATCCAAGTGGCAGACACAATCAAAACATGGAGGAATGCAAAAACATACATTTTTGGTCCTGAACATGTCAACAATAACATTAACAGACTTCATCAGGTCAATCATTTTGCCTTCAAAATTACACAGTGTCACTGACTAACTCAAAGTGATGAAGGCGAATCATTGCATGAGAAAATTTACACAATGATTATTAACAGTTACTCTTAATCCTGGTAAGAAGGCTGGCATATAAACTGTCTCTCAGACACTTACAGAATTATTATTATTATTATTAACAATATTATTATTAATATTAATATTATTCGAATAATAAATCATACCCCAAATTCACACAAATGACTGCATCTGTAGACGTCATAAAAACCCCATTATTTCCTGCATGCATCGCACACTACTGCTGTCATGTTTCTCCACTGGAGAGGGGAAATTTTGGGAAACTTGTTTAAAGTTTAATATGGTACAGTTAACAATTGTCTCTTTGATAAATGCTTTATAAACATCTGTTCCTTTATGTTGCACAGGGAGCGGCTGCAGGTTAGAGATAGAGAGGTGGGAAACTTCAGTGATGTTTTTTTACATCACTCCTGGCTGCCATTAGATAAATCTAAATCATTTGGATGCATGTATCCTGCTTATGGCTTGGTGAACGACTGAATCCCAGTTTTGTGAAACTGGCTTTCATTGAATCAAAACTGGGAAAACAACCCATTACCCATCAAATATCTAATCTAATCTCTGTTTTGGCACAAAAAGCACTAATACAAACACATTCCTTGAGTGAAAGTAAGGGGAGTTCATTATTTTATATCTAATTATATATTAATTTTATATATTTGTATATATGTATGTATGGTACATACAGAGTTCTAACACTTTTTTACAGATATAAGACACTACATGACAGTTTTGTTGAAAAAACATTGAAAAAAATAAAATGACATTTTTCTGGAAGTGATTTTCAGTTTCTGCATTCAATGTCATTTGTCTGCACATGCAACAAATGGACACGTTAAGACATTTTTTTTCAAAGTAAAAGTTTGGAATTGCACATTTAAAAAAAAAAAGTCCCTTTATGCCTCATGATGAATTCAATTGTTTTGTTTTCAATGATGAATCTTACCACAGCGAAAATCACTACTTACTCATGTCATTTTTCTGTCAAGTAACAGACAAATACAGTGAGTGGATGCTTTCTGATTATTGCTTTACAGAATTTTGTTAAACAGTTTGGAACTAAATGCAGCATTAATATCCCTGCAACACTGCTACTGGCAAAAGAGAGGCAATTTTAGAGGCCCCTTTTTAGAGTAAAATTGCTCCAAATTGGGTGATTTGATTAAATTAAAAGCAGATTTAATAAAAATTTGGTTCTGAAATTTTCATTCAAAGTAAAAAAACCCCAAAAACAATAAATTAATTAATGAAATAAACTGGCTTAAAATCTTCATATTAGAATGTTTTATTAATTTAGAAAAAAAACAATTAGTCACCTTTATCATTATCTAAATACATTTGCTACATATTTTGACCCCCACTATCATTGGGTCTTAACCCAATGTACTGTATTTCACTAGTCTTCCTGCTGTGTAGCATGTAGTTCATGCTTAGTCTTATCAAGTTGTTTGTTAATTAGAAGTTTAAATTAGTCATGCGAATGCTACCAGCTAATGCTACAATCTTACAGTAACTAACAAGAATATCACTTCCCTCTTTCAGAGCTTTGACATTAACCACCTCAGCCATGATAAGTTAACTTTGGCTCACTCCAGAAGACACTAACAATATTTACACATAAAAAGACATTAAGAATCATAAAGTGCCCAAATGAAATACATATGCTTTTGCGTTTCAATAAACTATGAATTTCTCTACAGTGTGCACATTGTGTTTCCTTTAATTCCACCTATTTTTGTGTCCTTTTCTGAAGTCCACAAAACCTGACGCCAGTCCACTCAGATCCTTTGTTTGGATGATGCAAAGTACATTTCATGCTTCCTTCCTCTCTTTCCTTTTTTCCTCTGTACTGAGTGGTAGCATGGCTAATCACCAGGTGCCTTGACGTTCTGTGGATTAGGACTGTAATTTAGAATAAAGGGGGTGATTCTCTGCACAGCCTGAATGTTGCTGTCAGATGTTATAAGTGGTTGTTTTTGTGCCTCCCTCATAATGGCACATGCCGCAAGGTAATTGAAGAAAAGGAAGAAGAAGACACTTGCTGGTAAAAATTGGCACAGTATAAACTGTTATTAGAGAACTGTTAGCCAATGCTTTAAAAATAGCGGGGAGGAATCTATTTCTACAGTATTAGCTAAAAAGAAACTACACTTAAACTGGGATGTACAGCAATGTGTTAAGTCAGTGACGTCAGATTGCTATTGCATTTGCTTGTTGTTTGTCAGTGCTACAGCTCAGATACAAAACTACCTCCTGTATTCCATGTGAATGTGGAATGTGAAAACTATATTAAACTAAATAAGAGTAAAACACCTTCAACATGAGCCCATTAAACCCTGGTTGTTTCTTGCCAGGCGGATGTAGACGGTGTCCTCATAAAGGTTAACATAATTTAATCATGCTAAGATCATGCATTTATGGTTATTTGGTTTGAATTCTAATTCTAATCTAATACGATATAATGCATGCATAAAATCCAATTTAGTGTGGTTGTGAAACTATCAAACTAGCATTTTCATAACGATATTCAAGAGGAAGGAGTCAAATGTTTTCACATATCACACCGCCTGAAGTGATTCAGGTTGGTGGACTTTGATTACATCTGGTGCCATACTCTGGAAATCTCTAATTGAACATAATCGGTGTGCTGTTGATTCAAGAAACACCCAGCTATTTTTTTTAAACCCAAAGGATACATGTTTTTATGTGCTTGATTCCAAACACAACAGTAACTGATGTGATTGAAAAGCACCTTCCAAAAATGGTGACAAAACAATCTGCAAAATCAGCTAATACCAAGATTCATTGCAATTTAAAAAGTACATGCTTTGGGGTTATAATGAGACACGTTTTTTTTTTAAACTCATAATGTGGTAGTTCTTCTTCTAAGCCATATAAATTCACTCTTTGACCACTTTATACCTTGTATTCCAGGTAAATGTAGTTAACAGGAGAGAAAGCCAGGACTAGCCCTGACCCACAAAATCAGTTCCAAATCTTCATCCTTCCAGTAGATGATGGGGGTTTCATTCATATTTCTACCTCTCAGATTCTCTACATTTTACCAAATAAAGTGAACAATGATGGGCCAAACCTGTGACACAAGAAATGTAATACAGGTCAAGTGCTAAAAACCAGGTAATGTCTTGGTCAGTTACAACACTTAACTTTATATATTCTTTGAAAGCCTCTCAAGTTGCTATGCACACATTCATTCGCCATCAATGCTCCCTCAAAATGAGATGGTGGTTTGTCAAACAATTTGAGGACAGTCTCACTTTCTCCTAGGACTCGTGGGTAGACAATAACACTCAGAAGCTGCCCAGCCCCTTAATGAAGACACAGAAAGACAACAAGCAGTCCTGGGATGGGGAATTGAATGTAGGCTGTAAAGAAGGGCTGTAGCTGAAGCGAGCTGAGCCTGGAGTCTATCGTGGTCCCAATAGGATGTAATCAATGTCGGCAACCAAACCCTTCTTTGAAGTATCCTCATTAAGAAGGTTTTTGTTTTTTCTTTATAGAGCTCTGAAGAGAAAAAAAAATTCCGGGGGGCGGTCGGTTGCAACAACAAAAGAAATGTACTTCCCATGAGTCTCGGGAAATAGTCTGATACAATATCAAAGAATTATAACACATTTCCAATGAGAACCAGCATGACCAACTGGTTTGTAAATTGATTTCCAAATTAGGGAAGTGATTCATTCCCCAGTGTAGCTGGGCCTGTCGAAGTAGCCTTGAGTGAGATACTTTACATCTACCTGCTCCAGGGACAGCACTGCCTGGCTGACCCAGGTGCAGCAATGCAGGGTTTACAAAAACTCTGTACTTGGTTGAAGCAATGGAAACTTAGCCGCAACATCAAAACTATACATTTCTGCGTGAGTCTTATGATCGCTCACAACAGGGCCCAATGGTGCTCTCCAATGACATCTGGGATGAATGGCGGATGAGCGGTGCCATTGTTGGATCCACCATGGAGGAGGTAGGGAAAAGCTTGTACCAGCCGATAACCATTGTGCTGAGGTCCAGCTCCTCCAGTAGGATTCGAGCTACACCCATGAAGCATTTGCGGTCCATCCGTCCATAGTTGCCCCAAACAATAACCTGTGGAAGAGGGTCGTAATATAGAGTTAGAAGGTAAGACTCTAAAATATACTAAAATATATTCCTATAATAAAAACCAGAATGTTTATTTCCTGCATTTGTAATTACATATAGACTCAGGAAGGGATAGAATGCATGTTTACAGAGCCTACTTCAAGACTGAAAACAAAATAAAGGAATAAGGTTAATAAGTTGCCTTGCTCATCTGTACTAAACCCATCAGTCTTGATAGTTATTCTCTCTGGTACAGCAGCAGAGAGAAGAGTTAGGTGTCAATAAAACTAAATAAAGAGGTGCTGTGCACGAGAGAGAGGGATGATGGTAGTGTTTGGAATCCTGTGTGTGTTTGTACTTTTGTTGTCCTCTGCCTCCTGACATCCTGATAACATCAGGACTCATCTCAGACCACCCAGCAGCTTGTCAAGGAGTGGACAAAATAATCAATATCCTTCAGCAAATGTGTCCACTCATGTTTTGGTCTTGTGTGTCTGTACATCCCAGCACACTGATTTCCTTGATATATGTTAGTGTGTGTCTGCAAGTGATTTCCACAGAGACTCAATGGTCAAATCTATTTCAACCTAGTCTTCTGCTTTTCAAAGAAGGATAATCTATTTCTTTTTCTGATTTTTCTTCAAAAAAGATCTTAACCTTAACCTCTACAAATTAGGAAAGAGACATTGGTAATGGGAGAAGTGAGAGTTAAAACAGCAGAAACCAGTTGTTTGTTAGCTATGGAGGATGACATCTGCAGTGTCCAAGATCCAAAGTTTGCACTCTCTAGGAATAAGAGAAATGCTCGGAGAACAAGGCAGAATCAGTGCTAGATCTCATTAATGTTTCTGGGCCCGAATGGGAGCAAATCCCTCCAGTGGGAAGCTTTCTTAGGCAGCGTAAACAGAAAGATTAATACCCATTATTTTGGAATAACCACTAAGTTTAATAACTGTTTGAGGGTCGTGTCAGAAGAGATTAGGTTAAGACAGGCTGAATTTGAACACTGATGCCAGGTTGACGTTGATCTATAAGCAATGGCACTGGACAGAATTACCTCACCTTGTTAAGTAAGGGTATGTTACAATAAATATTTACATGTCTGTGGTCTAGCATATAAAAGTCACATATAACCTAGTGAGATTATTCCAAATAGCCAGCATGTCATTTTCTAATCCGCTGACAGTTTGACAGCAGAACCTCCCCCTAGTTTGAAGAGACAGCTTAATAATAAATGATTGAAAAGAGTCAGATAAAAGACACATACTGGAAACATACACAAAGTAAACCCTGGATCTGTTTTTAATAATAATCAAAGAAAGAAGAAAATAACTGTAGTATAAATTTAGGAATTCAGTAACAGCTGCCACTCATTTTTGTTGTTTTGTTGTTTATTGACACCGAGTAAAACATCATCTGCCTTTAACGACTTCATTTCAGATTCCAAAATGCTTGTTGTGTTGCATCCTCTGCTTCCGGTTGTATTCTGTGTTATTTTACTTTGTGCCTTGTTGTGAACATTAGTTCATCGTGGCTTTCTGTGCTGTGCATCACCTCATTGTTTCCCTTTTACATTACTGTCTTGAGTCTATTCCCCCTCAGCCTTCTTCCTTGTAATACCCTCATGTTTCTGAGTCTCCCTGGTTGTTTTCTCCTCCTGACTATATCTTTTCTTGAGCTCATTGCTTTCAATTTTTTTCACCATGTTGGACTCATCTACCTCACTGTGCAGTGTTTTATATTAGTATCACTGTAAATAAATAAAGCACAATTTCATTCTGTCACCCACGCAGGCCCTTGGTGTTCACTTCAAGTTATTTTTGGCAGTGTGACAAATGAAGTCTCATTTTAGTTAATTAACAAATCATTATAAAGTGATCATGCAGGGTGGTACTCTATTTAACAACTTTTATGCCCACCCCCTAACCATGAATTTGGTGAATCATTACACACTTTGTCGTCATGCGCCATATAAAATCTTAATTTACCCCTTATAGCCATGCCTCATTTATAAAATGTTCAGAATGGGGACATGGGAGAATGTTTTTTTATGATGTCAAAATAAAAGTTGACAAACAGCTGTTAGTTAGATTTCGCACTTGATATGTTTTGGAAAGGCTGGAAAAATAGCTGAAAAAGCTGAGAGTTGGTTTTGGGCACAAGTAGTAAGTTTCTCAGTGACTTTTCAGTGTAGACTTAAGCAGCTTTTTGCTTTGCTAGATCAGTAAGTGACAAATTGAAAAGTGCTGCTGATTTCAGCGATTTTCATTATCCAGTGTGAATGAGTTTGATGAAACTCGAAGGACAGCGACATGACAGCAGCTAATTAAGAGGGAGGCGTTTAGTGGCTAATTACACAGTGACGGGAGCAGCAGAGCAGCCAGAGCAAGAGCTGCAAGTCTCTCCACTGAACACTATACTATTTTTACCTGCTGATTACTGATGGGAAAAAAATACATAAAAGGGTAATATTCTGGCAGTTGAGACGCCAGAAAAAATGCTCTAAAATAACAGAAATGTATCATTGCATTAACTCACATCAACTTTCTGTAATTAAAATGTAGTTTTCAGCTTTAAGTTACATGAGCTCTTGTGTATTTTTTGTCTGTTTTATGTTAAATAGCGGTATTTACTTGTTAAAACAGTTACCTAATAATATAGCCAAACACTGCTATAATATAAATACCCAGGCCAAAAATGACAGAATATTATTGTTATTAGTTGGAATTTTTTTCAAAATCGTGTACATTTAATCCCTATTAAATGTTAGGAAAAAGATATACTATGCATAAATAGAATTGAAAACACTTTTATAAAAACTATTAAGTGGATTTATCATAACAGCAATGGCCTGGTCTTTACATGTAATTTTACATACATGTATAACTCTTGAATATTTAGTAAATCTGTGCTCCCACAAATACTTATAATAGATTTGACTTTTTAAAAAGGTATTGACATTTTTTTTATGCTAGATGCATTTTCTGATGAAATCCCAAAAGGATTTGTGTCTTACCTTTTTTAAAAATTTCAGAAAGTGTTATTACATGTAAATTATACTGTTAATTTCCATTTAATTAACAATCCTATCATGTAAGAAGAGTGTACTGGATATTAATGGATATTATATTACAGAATGATGAAAATGTGAACTCTGAAACACCAATGACATATTTAATTCCTGTTTAATATTCAATTCTGTTTACAAATAGACCTTTACAAAAAAAACCAATTGCTCTTCTTTCAACATTTTTGATGACAAAACTTGAAATTATGTGTTACATTTTAGACAAATGAAAGTGCTCTGTGCCAAATAGCTTTTAGGGAGCCACGCAACCAAAACAAAACAAAAAACAAAAATATCTATCAATTAAACTTAGGGCACCTGAAACTTAGAATCACACATAACAAAACCCTTGTAAAAATAGTGTGAAAAATAAAGTCACAATTTTATGTAAAAAACAAAACAAAACGCATTTTCTTTAAAAAAAAAATCCAAATTTTGGATTTATTCACAGTTACAGGTTTTTCACAATATTGTAGATTAGACACGTAAATTCACAGCTTATTTTTTGTATTCGTCAGGAATCCTTTTGCTGCGCATTAAGCTTTGTTGTTAACTTGTTGACAAATCAAAGTGATCTGTACCAATGATTGTTCCACAGTTGACAGTCATTGGAAGCCATGAGGGTGTTTTAGGTGTAAGGACACTGCAAGCTGATGCTCTCATACAGAATTCATGTTTCTTTAATAGATATATTTTCTTCACAAAGATGACACAAAATGTCTATGGATGCTAACTTTCGAAGCACCTCCAACTTTGGCCCACTGTACTTCTTATTTAGCACTTTCATAAAATATTGAATGGTTCCATGATATGATTAGCCTGCAATAGAATCAGCATTCTCTGTATTTTCTGCTGATGCCCAAATTGAATGTTCTGTGTAACGAACTGCATGGCACGTCAAGTTAGGTGTATCTTACCTGGACCACTTTCCCCTGTGGACTCTCAGAGAAGACCAGGACCTGGTTGTAGAGAGGATCCAGAGATTTTCTCACTGATTTCGTCTTCTTCTTGGCCACACAGATTCCATTCTCCAGAAGATAAACTTTAATGTAGGCTGCTAGAATGACAGCAAACACATAGATTTGACTGATTAATTTCTAGTTTTTCAGTATATGATAAAAAAATATGCTCATCTTGTTGAGACTAAAAGATCTTCCAACACACTGTCTGGGCATTTGTCACATACAGTGTGTTTTGAACAGATGCTATAAAATAATGACTAACAAATAATGGTGTGCAATATGACATAAAGTACAATGCTGTTAAAAGTGCTGTTTTGATATGTAGAACTAATCAGGATAAACAGCTAAATTTCCCTTTGTTTAAAGTGGCCCAAAAAAAGGTGAACTACCTTGGTCACTTTATTACTGAGCAAATGAATGATGATGATGACATATAGAGACAACGGTGTAAGCTCTATGTGCAGGCAAATACTATTGCACACAAATTCAGCTTTTGTTCACTTCCAGTTAAAGTGGCTTTGTTAAAGCATATTGTACACTGCTATATACTGCCCCCCTTGTGGTCATCCTACAAACAATGTAGCATGCAGAAGCTGCATGTTGCATATAATGATGCGATGAGAATCCTTTGCAGGATACCTAGAAGGGGTAGTGCCAGCCAGATGTTTGCAGCTGTGGGTGTTTGGACTTTTAAAGCACTTTTAAGAAAGTTAATGTTCAATTGTAGAGAACGACTGGATGGCTCTAGTAACAGTATAATTTTAGCACTCGCAAATCCGACAGTGAGTGGTTCCCGTTACTCATCCAGTTGGAGGAAGCACTGGTTGAAGTGTTTGTGTATTTATTGATTTCTTTTAAGTAATTGTGTTTTAGGTATATTACGGTTTTATATTTTTACAAATGTTTTATATGTTATATATTTATTTATATATATAAATATATATATATATATATATATATTTATATATAAATATATATATATATATTTTTTTTAAAGTTTATACCTTGTGTTTTGGGGAGGGGGAGGGCTTGTGTGTGTGTGTCTCTGTCTTGTTTCTATGGACATGAAGTCTGCCAATAAAGATTGAATTGAATTGAATTGAATACTCCTTATAATGTACAAATGGAATTTGGAGGCTGAACTGAGATGAACCAAACAGTTGATCGTGTCAGTACTGAATTGTGAATGAAGCTGTAATGTTGTATAATCACATCAACAAGCCTAAGATGAAAGCACAACACATGAATGTGTAACCCTCGAATGTTCTAAGACACCTGTGGTGATGCTCCCATCTAACCTTGCAAAATACAGGCTAGGGAACAAGCTTATTGTTCAAAATTTTGCTGTTCACAGTGACCAGAAAGTAAGGAGAAAGTTCCAATCATCTGTATATTTTGAAAAGAAAAATGATAAAAACTGAAAACTATGATTTATGATCATTCATGATCACTTGACCAGCTGTCAGAATAAAAGCATCTACTACTGTTTGTACAGGTTTAAAGAAGAAATATTGGCTAATAATAACATATGGTTTCGCTAACAGCATTCTAATGTAAGTTTACAGTACTGGAGCTTACACACAGGTCACAGCTTTCTGTCTAGTGTGCTGATAACAGGATAGAAATAATTCAGACACTGGCTCACTAAAATCTGCAGGCAAAACCTCACTTGTCTTTACACTGTACACGGAGTTCCTTTTATCTCTATACCTCCCTTGTCATGACCATGTTTTTCTTTCAGTTACAATATAGTGGTCTATGCTGATTTGTTTGCTTTCCTCTGTTTATTTTCCTATTCTCTTTTATCTCTCCTTCATAGTTTTTTTCCCAGATACTTTTTGTTCCATTTCAGTGAAGGTGTTTAGCTCTTATCCAGTTGGGATTGATGCCTGCTTTAGTATTGTGCAGCGGCGAGGCGCTACAATCAAAGTCAACAATATGATCATTCTGACCAGAGGAGGCATTTAATACTGGACTGTATCTATGGATTAAAATCTGAAGTCAGAGCATCAAGATGCACATTTCACTACTGCATGAGCAAAGACAAATGCAGTTTTTACTTATTTAGTGCATCGCCTGCTTCTGCTCCATTCCCCCCTTCACTCGTCTATTTTTTATATTGTCAAGCACAAAAAGTATGTTTTTGGAAGCTATATCCCATTAGTATTAAATATGCCCTACAGGCTGTTGTGTATGTGAAACTATTTGCTGGCTTGTAAAGCATTCATGTGGAGTACAAACAGAAGTAAAGCAGCTTTATAAATGTTAAATTTCGACTCAAAACACCTCACGTTATGGTATAAATGGTATTCTCTGAAAAACAGAGCTCAAAGACTGATCACAGACAAACCTGGAGGTCCCTTTGAACCTGGTTTCATGGTGAGGCCTCTGGCCTGGACGACCTCCACCTCCAGTCCCCCATTCCGCTCCATCAGTCCAATCTCTACATCACCTGATTGGGTGAAAAAATGAGATTAAAGGAGGTGAATATTAGCCCAACAATTAGTAAATAGTTTTAGAAGAAGATACTAAAATGGATGTGAGACATAATCATGTAAGATCACTTGGTAACTTCAAGTCAGTTGCTAGACATGTCCAAACTATCCATCATGTATAAAAATGTACATCCTGCACTGGTTTGTCAAATGCCTTTTACACATTGTGACCATGGCCGTGTCATATTATGAAGGTGATTCTGAATGAGAAGCCAGTCACACTGTATGAGCAATCACAGAAGGATCCTTTGACTTATGTCCTATTTTACTTTGCATGGGACCATATCCTACTAAATTAATATCTGACTGCATCAAATAAGTGAAACTAGAGTACAAGACCGTAGTTTCACTTATTGTTTTCTCAAACACTCTCTAGACCTCAGTTCAGTTTGACTTCTTTGCACAACCAGAGAACCAGAGAAATGGCTCTGGTTGACCATTAGAAAGAATAAAAGTACTTGACACATTAGCATTCCTTTTCAGACCCAGAACCCAAATCCATTTTTTATATACGATCCAACTTCCAAACCAAATCTTGGAGCCAAGGAAAAGACGGTCCCAAAGCAAGTTCAGTTTACTGTAAGAGCAAAATACTGCATCACATAGAGCACACTTCTCTCTGTCCAAACGTTCTGCATATTATGTTTTCTGTAGCAATAAACCCAACCAACAATAAAAATCATGGTAAGTTACTTATTAATAGAGTAATAATATAAAGGCTTAATATAAAAACTATTTAGAGATTCTGAAATATCTTGTTGGTCTCCCAACATCAAGCTCCTTGAATTATGTTAAGCAAAATGGTGTGAACTTCAATACAAGCATCTCTGAAGCTTTCTTTTTAATAAGTCATGGTTTTGGTTCAGTCTTAACACTATAATTTATCCCAGTCAGCTGGCTCCTCACAGAAAAAAGCCATAAAGACAGTAAAACATGTAAGAGACAAAGCTTTTACTGCTAAATAAGTAAATATATCATTCATATGTACTCTCTAATCATAGCTCTGTCTGCGTTTTCTTCCAATAATGATCTGCATTTTTTATATTAAAATTGCGTGCACATTGCAATAATTTCTCTCATTAGAAGTAACTTTGGAATAAAAGTTTTAACTAAATGTCCCCAAAATGACAAATGTATTCCTTTGAAAGTGACACAGCTCAGATGAAAGCCAAGTTATTCTGGGTTCTCTGACATTATATAATGTTGGACCAGGCAGCAGGTTTGGAGTGGAGCTGGTCCAGTCAGTGTCACTGTTGTTGAGCCAAGGACACTGTCTGGCTGCCAGTGAGGAAACTGACCCACTTACAGTAAATCACTGCTGTAGAGGACAGACTTCATGCAATATATCCAGTATATACAGCCTGGAAATGAATAAGTGAAGTGCTGGAGATGATGAGAAAAACAGTAAGACTGCTGATTTGTGAGGCACTTTCTTTGCCAATGTAAAATGATTTTAAGGAACCATTTGGTTCAGTTTTATGAGTATAAAGCTTTTTTTTTTCTTTTTAATTTTCTGACCCAGCCTGTATATCAAAAATGGAAAACACATTTTTATTCTACAGAAACAGAAATGTAAGAAATTGAATTGGCTGTAGCAAAATAATTAAAACTCCAGTCTTCTCTTACCCATGGATGTTGTCGCCAGTGTCTGTCGCCCAACAAACTGGGCTGGTCCCATCCCATCCAGGAAGTCACTGAACTGAGCATCGGATGCCAGACACATGCCACTGTAGTTAAGACTGCAGAGGGAACAAAAAAGCAGGCAGACAAAGACACGGATGGTTAAACATGACCAGACAGTGCTTAATGCAGTTCAATTAGCAGAAGAAAGTGAGTGACTGAAAGATAATGAGACAATGGAAGAGAGGAGTAACAGAATAGGGACAAAAGCAATCCAGAGGAATAACGAGATAGGGACTGAAAAAAAGAAAGAAAGAAAAGGCTGATAACCGAATACCATTTATCACTCCCCTTTCAGGTTAGTTAAACTCACAAAATTTTAATTGGCTTCCTGAAACTAGGCTCAGATGTTGGCTCTAGAGTTTGACCCCATATGTCCTTATTTTGTGTGGTTTTTACGTGTATACAAATCAGCTCAAAGTGCTTTGGTGGCAAACAGCCAGGTAGTAAATATGTGTGTGAGTGTGTGGGTTTATTTGTTCTATGAGCAATAGACGACAGCACTTTTCTTCCATTGCTCTACGAGTCTAACATGATGTGTAAATAAAAACATACCAATGCACTCTCAAAAGTAGGAGCATAGTAAAAGTCAGTTTTCGTCCCTACAGTTTAAGTCTACACAGATATACCCCTCAAGGCTAAAAGCTGGACCTCCACTGTGTACCAAAAACATCCCAGGCAGCAGTGATGTGTCATGATTTATACATTTTAATGGCCTAATCACTGTGACTTTCACCTTGTAGTTAGTTAACACAATAAAAAGGACACCTTTCAGCTATCTTGTATTTTTAAAAAAAACATTAATATAGTTCACTAACAGAATAACTTCTTTAGCTAAATTCAGTGTTGTGGATATATTATTTGAATATCTGAATATATTTGATAAGTAATCAGTCTACTAAAGAAACAACATTATGTAATGCTGAAGAACCAACATGAGTCATGAGTAAATTATTACTTTCAACCCTGTCTGAGCTACCAGCTTATTTTCATAGAGGTTATCCTTGCTTCTATGAAAGGACTGAGACAGTGACCTCTGTCTCTGTGCTGGGGGTCAGGGTCAGGGATTTACTTCCTCCTCTCTTCATTTCTTTTGCTGCTTGTTCCAGGACAAAGCTCTCTTTTCATGGACTTTCGTGTCTTTGTACAAGTTGATGGTTTTGCCACAGTAGAGAATAGCCTGCATGCATCACTGTTTGCAGTGTTTTCATTTACAGCTGTAATGTACTTCTCACTCACTGCAGCATGTCGCTGCTCAGTGGTGAGCCACGTGATCACAGGAAAACTAAACACAGCAGAGAAGGGAGGAGGAGGTGGAGCACAGTGTGCCTGCATGACAGGAGAAGTGTTTATGCTGGTATCGATCCAATACCAATACCAGCGATGGTATCGGTACTATCGATATTTAGATCGCTCTACCCACCTCTACCATGATGACAAACTTCTGTACCTCTAAAGGGCCATTTATGCAGAAAGTGAATAGCAGTAATGTGGCGTCTATACAGGGTACAGTAATTTTAACAAATGACAAGGAGAAAAACACAATGGTGACATTGGAGTAGACAGGTCCCTGGTTAAACTTTTCCAACTTAGAGTTAAGCGACTGAAGAAATTTCCAATGAAAGCAAAGTGACTGGACCACACTGGACCACCTAGAAATGGCATTACACCCTCAGGAACTGGAAGCGCCTTGTGCAGATTTCTGTGTTGATTTTAATTCCAGAGGAAGTTTGGAGCTCTCCAGTTACTGAGTCAGTTGAGTGTTGGTGACTTTTACGCACCATGCCCCTCAACACTTGACAATCCAACTCTGTCGCTTGTAAAACACTGGCCAAAAGTTGGGACACACTGCAAACTTTTGCCTGGCACTATATTTGTAGTAAAATGCATGCATGCATTTTTGAAGAATTCATTTAAATCTGTAGGAACTTGGTATGTTTAAAAAGAGGCCTATGAGGCAGGCAGTGTTTGTATGCCTTTGAATGACACTGTACATGATGTAAAAGGTCACACAGACATACTGTATATATATTGTATCTGTATCTGAGGTGTGAGTGACAATTGTGAGGGTAACACAACCTTGAAGCATGCATAAAATTGAACAATGAACTTTTCGTAACTTGGACGGTGGCAATAATTTAATTTAACGACAAATGTGCAATGTGACTACTGGTTCTGTAGAGAATTTATTCATTACTCAAAAAACATTTAAGAGAGTGGGGAAAGTAGTATATGTCACATAATTCACCATTCTCTAACAGCCACTTGGAGCCAGTGGCAGTCAACCCATTCTGTCGTTAGTCATTAGCCATGTTCCCAACCAGAGACTGAGCAAAGAAAGACAGGAAAGATTAACTACACACATCCCTCTCTCACTGTCATTTCTTTTCCTTTCACCTCTCCTCCTTCTCTCCAGAGCTCTCATTAGTCTCTTTCTTTCCTCCTTTTTCTCAGATTATGCAGTTTGCAGCTGTTTCGAGCCCCACGAGATAACATTCTCTCCTTGTCTCTACTTTTATCTCTTTTCCATACCCCTCTCTTCTTCTTCTTCCCCTCTTTAACCTACATGTTTTTCCACCTTGCCTTCACTTTGATATTTTATCATACTTTATGGTTGCTCAATTTTAAATTATCCCCACTTTCACAAGAGTGCTTGGGTGCACATATAAGGAACAAATCATTATATTTTTTTTTAAACTAGACACTCAATGCTGACTTTGTCTTCAGTTATTAGATTGTTCGAGCAAAGTCATACAAAAGCACAAAGTCTAACCTTTAATACTAACTGCAAACCAAGTATGCAAATGCTTCATTACAAAATAATTTAGAAGTCGTTCAGTGCAATAAAGGAAAGCAATTATTTAAATTAGTAATTTACATTCAGGTGGCAGCATATAATAAGTAATGACATGTCAATTTTAGGGGATGAAAGATAATCCCAAACTCTCATTTGCATCTCGTTACTTTATCTTTTCCCCTGTGTTGTTTGTATACATCCCATGGACGCTTGGGATCTGGGAAGTTTGGACACCAGATCAGGATCTTGAGCTTTTTGTTGTGTAACTTCAAGTCATTCTTGGACAGCTTATGTGGTGCATTGTCCTTCTTGGAGAAATTGCATCTGAAAAAAAATATTTAAGTGGGTTTTAAGTAACATGCACAAATACCAGGAGGTTTCCAAACAGAACCTTGCATTATCATGTAATGATCAACATTATTCACTTCGAGTGTCAGTGGTTTTATGTGGTAGCATGCTGGTCTATGTATATCACAGCATGTTTTTTTTTCTTCTTTTGTTTTGTTTCTGTGACCATAATGCATGAATGTAATATGCAAAGTATTAAAGTGCTGCATATATGCAATTAACATAATACATCAATTAATATGTTTGTATACTGAAGAAATTACATTCCTAATGAGGTAAAAACCTTTGTATATGTGTATCATGAGTACGCATGCAAAGATATTAGTCAAACAACATTAGCTGAGTGGGTATTACTGGGTGATAAATTCCTGAGCTTTAGATTATGTTAGTGTGTGGGGCACATCTGGGGATTACACTGCTGTTTCGCAGAAATATGACGTTCAATGCAAACCGCAAGTGGGAAACCGATGGGAACTTTGCATAAATATAAGATCTCATACTACTCAGTTTTTTGTAATGCACTGGAATTTAGAACAACAACAACCTTTCATTAAAGTTAAATAAATATGGAAATATATTTGCAGATTTTACAAATATATTGGTAAAAAAAAATCTGTCTTTCTGTTGTTAAAATATCATTTGAACAGAACTACATTTATGTTTTCTGTCATCATTGTCATAAGCTCCACACATACTGCACTAAAATTTAAAGCGTCACAGTGCAGCTGAAGCACTGCTTTGCACCGCTGACAAAGGATTGGTTGTCAGGAGTACATTATAATTTTACAACATGAACCCAGTAAAATGTCAACATGTTTTTTCCTGGATATTTTTTAAAATGATGTCTCCTTTTAGAAAGAGTCACAGTTGTGTGTCTCTCTTACACAAAGACACGCATTTCCATTTACCTCAGTTTCCACAGTGAATGTGTGCGTGCATTGGATCCTGAATGGCTCCCACCATAAATCAATAAGCTCATAAGTGTGACTGGATGGTGTTAGCTAACAAAGTGCTTATTCATGACTGTGCATAGAGAATGATGGAGCTTTTCAATCAGCAGACTGAGCCAGACAGCTGACGTAAAGACTGAAATACAGACAGGAAGATGAGCAGTGGTTTGCTGCGGATGATTTAAATGATGCAGTGAGTCAACTGTTGCCAGCTTAATGAGTCAACTGTTGTTCCCTTTAATGTTTTGTTGCTTGCAGCATGGTGCATGCACAGATTTTAAAGGCCCCTTCTGTTTCTGGTTTTATATAATTTTTAATGTGCTTTTAATATATAAAAAAAAAGAACTGAAAGAAAAAACTAAATGAGACAATCATGGAGAATAGAGCTGAACATACTGGAACACCAGTTAGTTACACAATCTATGTGATCTGGTATCTTTTGAACATTGATAGCATTGATTTCCCCAATGTATTTTCCATGTGGGTTATGTTTACAAGAATTATTTTTCATTAACACAAATATGTACAAATTATGTTCATTTCAGTTTGAAAAAGACAATGATCAGTCACAGGATTTAAGATAGAAATATATCTTCCTTGTTCTTGTGTAGAATTAGGGATGTCAAGCATATTGACATTGTTTTGGAAATCTTAAAATGGGAGATAATATAAAGTAAAAACGTATTACTATGGAGCTTGTCTGTTTATCTATATTAAACCAAATAACAAAATACAGAGAAGGTAAAATTCTTTAGATTTCTGTCACAACATACACCTTTTTATCTTGCACAAAATAATCAATATTGAACATTAAAAAAAACACTTGAACTTACCTCAATATGACGACACTTACACTAAATGGAAAAAAGTCCTGGGCGACCTGAGTTGTTCTGAGCTATTGTGTAAGTTATCTTTTGTTTACATTTGTCATATCAACCATGTATAGTATGAACAAAGATGGTAATGGAGCCTGGTGAGTCTGCAAGGCACAGCACTTTGGGACCATGAAGAACATTCTGGGTGTTTTCATAGGATAACAAATTTTATCTAATATTAACCATGTTTCATGTCACATTTGTCAGGGAACTGGGTCTGTGACCCACTATTTTTGAGGGGTTTTTTTTTAATTGTTTTTGCAAAACAATTCAAATACATTTTGGTGGTGCATGTCGACATTTTTATGTCGGACAATCACTTCAATAGAAATACATATCAGCAATGTCTGTGACCCAGGTGGCATTGCTTTTTAAACTATTTTTAAATTAATAGTGTGTGGTATAAGTGGTAAAAGGCAGAGCTCCATTTAGGTAAGCTAGACAACATATGACGTGATGTGATGTGTGCTGTGTTTTCAGCTAAAGTGACTTGGATGTGGAAGAGCAGTAAAGACTGCAGAGTTTGAATAAGCTAAATCAAAGAGCCTCGTGTGAACACAGATTTTCTTGCACTCTTTCTCCTTCTAAAACTCTCTTTGTCATTTTTTTTTTATCTGTGCCTGTAATGCCTTCATTAATTTTTTTTTTTACCTCACAGTTATTAAGGCTTCACTGTGGACTTCTAGGAAACAATCAATTAGGTTGTCTTCTTCTTCTTTTCATATAGTTGTGTATGTTGGCTCTGACTGACATCTTCTGTTTGATTTATTCATCATTAAAAAAGGATTTGCTTCTGCTACTAAAGAATAAATAAGCTAGCATCATTAAAATCTAGCTAATGAATTCGTTTTTTTTCCCATACTATGCAAAGTAATCCATGTTTTTAAGCAGAAGCTCATAAACAACGTATTTGCATATTCCAAATATAAATGGAATATTAATATGCACGCAAACACACTCAATGATGCAATCATCCTCTCGTTATTTTCGTCCCTCCTCTGTTCCTCTGTAAACCCTCCCAGCCTACATCAGTCTGTCTGACTTGTCTTGTTATGTAACAGTAGGAATTCAAGCTGGTAGCCAGGTTGGCAGTTATCTGCATGTGTCCGTGTGTGTGTGTATGAGCGTGTTCAGTAGTACTACACTATTACTGCTGATGTCATAGGTGCTCTGTATGCTCTCTCTCTCTCTCTCTCTCCCTGTGCATCAAAGACATTGCTGATGTTTTTCCTGTATGACAGGTAATAGAAACACAGCAACACAAGGAAGAAAATAACCTGAAAACACAAAGGCGTGACAGCATCTTCTGATTGCAAAACCTCAACCAAAGGAATCAAATCTCTGAAATTCCAATACACTAAAATATATTCCTTTTTTCATTTTAAGTTTGAATGAACTGAATTTGAATCCTTGCAAAAATGTGCTATTTTCAAAATAGTCTCAGTAGTTTTACTGATATAGTTTAAAGTGCAAATAGATTGTCCAACATCCAAAATGAATTCAGAAGAAAGAAGAAGAGAAATAACGAGTTAACATAAACCAGTGACACACTCCAGGGCCTGATCAACCCTGGTAGGGCCTCCTTGGATGCGGGTGTCTAGTGATAATGGTCGAAACACCCGATGAATCCAAGGTCCACTACTGACTATGTGTCCCAAACTGGTAAAGTGTCTTGTCTGCTTTTCCTCATAACAGCCATCCTTCAAGATTTTCTCCATTTAAAGCAATGCATTATCAGGGACTGTAACACCTAGTCCTTTTTACTGAAACAAAAATCCAATCTACAGCCTAAAGTTTACGGGAAATTGTTCCTAAACAACTAAAATAAAGAAAGCCAAGTAACAGCAACAAAAACTACCATCGAAGGAGGGTAAAACAAAAAGAAAAACAGCTGTAAAAACATATTGCAGAGGACCTAATGTAATAAGTTTGTAGCAGGCTTTTTGTAATTTTACCAAAATGTGGATTTTTTGTGTTGGCTTTTGTTTAGTTTAGTTTTTTCAGACTCAGAATGCTGTATTTGTGGTTAAAATGGTATTTAATTAAAGCAGTATTTGTTACTTACTTCCCTTCGGAGCCATAGCTGTTCATGCTGTCTTCTATGGACTCGTGGCTAGCCTGGCGAACAGTTCGACTGGGCATCTCCACAGCCAGCCCCGTCTCTGTGCTCCTCTGGATAGCTCCCTTCAACTTCCTGCCATCTGTATCCACTGCAAGTAGGCAAACACACAAAAATAAAACCTGAATTCAGCTACATGTGAATAGAGTACAGTGTTGTGTATGTCTGCTAGCTTTAAAATTCTTACAGTTGTTTTAGTTTATACAATCCCTTGTTTCGAAATGTCTACAGTGTTGCTAATGCCGTTACTACGTAAGGATGTTCAGTTTTAGTACAGATTGATATTTACCCTTTTCTTGCAGTAAATCAGCTTCTAATTAAAAATTGACAAAAAGTCACTAAAATAAATAACCTTCAACTATTATACATCTCATCACATAAGCTGAGTACAATAAAACACTCAAATCAACTTTAAAGTAAGCGAGTGACTGCATGCGACTGGCATTTGTTGTGGCAGGATTTTCCTCTAGTTTCTGTTTTTAATATTTCATTTGTAGTTTGGAAAATATAAACAGGAGAGGATGTCAGGTTTGTTTGTGTCCCGCTGTGACCTCATCAGTGTCACACGAAAGACGACCAGAGAGATGAGAAATTTAACAAGGCCAAGGACAAAAGCACCCGATTACTCCTTAAAGCAGGGACATACATCTTGTTGCAAAGTAGCCCACAAAATCGATGTGTGGAGCACTTTATGGGACCACTCTCTGGCTTCAAGGTGTCCTGTGTGTGTGTTTGTGTGTTGATGGTGTTCATGTTGGTTTAGTTCATAATGAAGTGTTTTAGCAGGAGGTCTTTCGACCTTGTTTTTAGAACAGGACAGGAAAGATGTTTTCCTTTTAATGGTCAGGACACCCGCAAGGAAAACACACTAAGACAACACACATTCACCACAGTCGCTCGAATACATCAGCCTAAAACACATTCTAGACCATGCCACATTAATTTTGTGAAGCTGAGTGTTTTTCAAATAAATGCCAAACGTGATTAAATAACTGAATAAAGGGTAAAATCCCCCAAATGAAATACATGTCAACAAAAAGGCACCCACAGTCACACACTCTCACACACAACTACATGGGCACAGTACTGTGAAAGTTAGTTCTGCAATTATTAAAGAGCGACCTAGAATGGTGCTATTTCTATCGTGTTCAAGTGGGACGGGACGCTGGCAGATTTGGGTTACTTGCTTCTTCTTGCTGTCTGGTTTCGTATGATCAGTTATCTCCTGTGTTGGTCCACAGATGCACTGTCATCCATTAATACCAAAGTCAGTATAGCGTGCAGTCCAGAAAACCAGTGAAGGTAAAAATTCAAGGCAGTGAAAGAAATTTTTAAGAAAAATAAAACATAGTACTGGTAGACAGAAGAAAGCTTTAATACTGTTCCACTTACTTAGCATAATTCATGTTGCTTTTAAGTTTTTGATGTGTAAGATCCCTTTTTTTCCTGCATTCACACAGCACTTCCTAGAATTTTGCTGTTTCCATATAACCATTTTGGATTTGATACTGACATCCAACAACTGTTTAGAGAAAAATAAACGTAATATGTTCTTTGCATGACTAAACATGGGACATTGATTTTTCCTACTATCTAATTAAGATGTATCTACATGTTAAACAAGCATATTTTCAGAAACTAGACGATGTTACTTGGGAACTTAAACTCTACTCCAGACGACAAACAGGTCACAGACAGTCTTTAAAAGGTTTGACTGAATCAGTCATTGTCACACATCCCTTTCAGAATAATTTCTATCTTAAGTCTATGGCTGATTCCTGGGTTCGTTCCTTGTATAAAAGTTGAAAAAGTCTTGAGTGTGGTATGGTGGCTAAAGGAAAAAGTGTAACTACAGAGAACTGGGTAACACTTTGAAAATGCTGCTCCAAAACCTCACACCTGACATACAGTAAGCCAGGAATTTGATACCAATACCATGCTTTACACAGCACAAACTTCTATTAACCGATGAACCAAATTTCTAGTGCCACCAATTGCCTAAAAGCTACACAAATTGAACACAATTCTCAGTAACTAAAGTTACAGCAACTGAACCTGATTCTTAGCCAAACTGATCAAACTATACCCGAACCAAAGCAAACAAACAGGACAGCCGAGTGTGGACCAAGGCCAGTTCACATATAGCCCTGTGGACTGAGTGCAACAATGTGTAGCAGCAATAATCCTTCAATATCATAAACATATACAGGCACAAGTCAGTAATATGCATCTGCTGCAATTCATATCTCAAGCATTTATGTAATGTTTCCATTCAGAGAGATTTATATTATAATACAAGCTTAAAGCTCCAAGGTTATAAAGATAATGAGCGACAGAAAATTGGGTCAGAATGCAGATGTAATGCGTGTGACATGGTGAGCAACCTGAATATCCACATAAAAACCTTTAAAAACCTTTAGAGTTGTAAAATAAGTTTCCTAATCCTAATCTTACCCGGCATCTGGATTTACGAGCAAACAAATCTGCTTTACTCCCAATCCTCCTGCCAAACTATTGTGGTAACAAGAGTCACAAGTCTTGCCAGTCTTTACTAGTATCTCCTTAACATTAAAAGGCCTTTATGAAGTTTCAGACTTCTAGCAAAATATTGCTGAATAGTTTATGGTTGCAATGCCTTTCAAATGCTGTGTAACACAAACAATTTGTATTATTTGCTGTTCGCACAACTTTGCTAACTGCTAATGTTCAACACAGGTCCTCATTGTGTTTTATAGTAGATAGAGCAATAAGAGTATTTGAATGTTAGTCTGCTAATATTTGCTGGCTGAGCAGTGTTACATTTGCTGACTTTACTTGTATTTGTCACGGTCCTGGGTCTCCTGACCCAGCGTTTTTAGTTCTTTGTGATTTTTGTATTATTGTACTTGTGTGTGATTTATTCTATGGCTTCTAGTTTTGATCCCTTGCCCTTCATGTCTCTCTGTGTCCCTCTGTTCTGTGTAATTGTGTGTCTTTGCATGTTTGAGTTTCTTGTTTTCTGTCACTCTGCATTGTGCATTATGTTCTCATGGTTGGTTTTTTGTTACTCTCTCTAGTCTAGTCTCTTGTGTTCCCAGCTGAGTATTTCCCTGTGTATTTTGGTTCTTAGACCTCTGCCTTATGGTTTATGTCTCTGTATTTCTTAGTTGCTGTCTCCACTGTGTCAAGTTCGCGTCTCTGTGTGATACTTCCTGTTTTACTTTGATGGTCCGTGTCTCATGTGAATGCGTCCTGCTTTGCTTGTCTCGTCAGTCCTGATTTCTCCCAGCTGTGCCCTCCTTCTGTGTCTCATTCCCCTCGTTACTTCCCAGTGTATTTAAACCCTGTGTTTCTCTGAGTCAGTGTCGCGTCGTCCCTCATGCTGTGTGGATCTCCCTGTGAGTTTTCCAAGTTCCCAGTTTAGATTAGTTTGTATGTTTTTTTTCCCTGCCAGCAAATAAAGCTGAGTTTTGAGTTCACCTCCCTGAGTCTGTGAGTCCTGCACTTTGGGTCCAACTCCTGCCTGCCGCACAGCGATTCATGACTGTATTGCTATGTTTTAGCTAGGCAGCTTTACTCACAACAAGTGCTTTTAACCAAATCTACCTGTCGTTTCTGGAAAATAAGTCCTTTCCATTAGTTCACTTCTGGCTAAATCCTCTTATTGGACAGTGGCACTCTTTGTAAGATATTGACGGCTAAGCAAAGACATTCACTTTGCTTGTGTTTGAATTTGTGTTCTAAAAAGATTCTAACAAAAAAATAGGGCAAGAAGCAACTCCTGCCACTTAGCAGCCATCTTGTAAAATGAAAATGAAAAAAGTAACTCAAAAGTTCTCTTAGTTTGTTGTAGAAAAGGTTTAGGAAGGTTTTTTGTCTCTTTTTCTGTACAAGTTTGAATTCTGTTTTACATGAGCATATTTATAGAGCTTTATTCATGACAAGTCTCGTGTTAATTCATGTTATAGATCATTAAGTCAAGAAAAACAGTTACAATGAACAAGTTTTCTTTGTCTTTCTCATCTCTTAATTTACTGCTTTACTGCTTATTATTTACATGAACAGTGATGCACAAGTCAATGAGGAAGTGATTTGGGCACAGCTTGTGTCACCAGCAGTGACACGTATATGGTTGCCATGGACACAGATGCCATTACTATGGAGACTGCAGTCAAACCAGAGACAGCGGTGAGGATGTTCTGTGAGCATTTTAACACAGGGGCCTATTATTAGCTTGCTTCAGTGTTTGTGTGCATGTTTCCATTATGTTGTTATGTTATGTAGACACAAAACATGTGGAAACAACTTCTACTTGAAAACAAAATTCTGTTGGTAGAAATTCTTTGTTTTTAGGATAAAAACTTGGTTAAAGAAAATATTAGCTTTGGTTTGAGGTTAACATTATGGGCTAAATATGGTTATGCTTAAAGTGAGTCTACCGAAAATGCATTTAAGTTCATGTTAGGTCCTCTGAAGTAATGGAAACTAGATCGTGTGTGTGTGTGTGTAGCCTCCTGTCACCTCTTGTCACGGGTGGTGTATTGAGGTGGAGTAGAGTTACATAACTAATACAACAGGTGGGTAATGGCCGGAGACACATCTACCACTCTGGTTTGCTGCAACCCTTTTCATGCCACTGATGGGATATTATCTCTGTTCACTTCAATCCAATTGAACATGCTTTATCTGCAGCAGAGTGAAAGGCAATCTTGCCAGGCAATCAAGATAAAAGATTAAAATTTAGAGGACTGACAGTTTTTTTTTTATTTGCAGCATTTCTCCACTGATTTGTCCCCAACACTTTGCACAAAACATTAGGCCTGCGATGTTTTCTCCTTTCTCCTGCCTGCCCGCATCTTTGCATCTCTTTCAGTGCTTTCAGTGAAGTCACATCAGTTACTGCATGCTAACAAGTCATAAAAATGACAGAAAACCTTGCTACATATATACAGGCAACACCACCAGTCAAGACTAAACATGGCCTGTAACTGAACGACAGGAAACTTTTAGCTGTATGCAGTTTTTCCTATTTTTTGACAATCAGTCCAGCGACCAAAACTCACTCACAGGTCTGCCTTATATGGCCCAGCTGTGCCACAACCATGTGGTCAC